TTCTCTCCCCCCCCCCCCCCCCGCGTGTGACAGGGTGCGACTCACCTCTGTGGCACCCCCTGCTGGCTATCCTGGGGATCAGCTCTTCTAGCCAGTGCTCCCTCTTCTGGTGGCATCTCTCCACCATCACTTCTGCTCCAGGGAACCATGTCATGCCCAGGATCGTGGTGTTCTCTTTGTGATACAGCCCTTTGGCTGTGCCGCACTCTGTGCTTCCCACCTTCCACAGGATGTCTCTATAGTCCCTGTCAAACCACTTCTCTTAGTGCTGCTGTTTAGCCACTTCCCCAGTGCCAAGTGGGGGAGATCCGGGCCCGCCCACTACTTCAGCCCTGGGACCAGCCCAGGGACCTGATGGTACGGTTGGCTGTGTACCGGTTCTTACTGGTACGCCGGACCGGACCAGACTGGCTTACTTTCACCTCTGTCCATACACCTACATCCTGCTTCTCAGTTCAGACTTGTGCTGCAGCTCCACAATAGTTCCCCAGTTTGAGCATTGATTGTAGATCAATATTGGCCAAATATTATATGGGTCATCTGTACAGCCAAATATGCTGTGTGGGGGAATAATTGTGCCAACTGTGTTATATCATTGTTTGGTTCAACATATTACAGATGTACAGGGTAGTAACATATATTAGTAATATAGCTATAAAGCAGGTTGGTTTCAGCCACAAAGGCATGATTAAATTGTTTTTATGCAGGATGGAGGAGAATTTTCTTCTTGGATTTGGGTGTGTACACAGACTCCAAAACCATGAGACATTCTCAGGGGAAGAAGAGATTGTTATATTTATGGGACTCCTCCAGATTGGACCGTTTTACATTCTTGTGTTTTCTTACTCCAGGCATAAATACCTGGCCCCATTGAGGTCAGTGGCAAAATTCCCATTGCATCCGTTGAAGAGGGCTGTAGCCCATGAAAGCTTATGCTCAAATAAATTTGTTAGTCTCTAAGGTGCAACAAATACTCCTGTTCTTTTTGCGGCTACAGACTAACATGGCTGCTACTCTGAAACCAAAAATTCCCATTGACTTCAGTGGGAATCCCACATATTTATCAGATGACAGAGCAATTTCACTGGAGTAACTTCACATGATGAAAGCACAACCATTGGCAGTGGTTTCTAACTCACTCCTCTAAACACTACTGAACACTTAGTATTGGTTCAAGAGCGCAGTTTAATGGTAACCTCATTGTAGCTCCTTTTGAAGCTTTTTGTGTCAGACTAGTTTATTTAATACAAAAAGAGCCATTTTAAAAGGAGTGGGGAATAACATGACCATCTAAAAATCTCTAGTATATCTTACTGAACTTACTGGAAAAACAATAATTTTATGTGTAATTTACCAATGTGTTGTAATATAACCTGTAGCTCTCACCATGAATTAGTAATTGCAGCACATTTAATTTATGTGTAGAGTATTTGTATTTATTCTTAAGTATATTTAGCACTCACTTGTATAAGGAATTTTTATATAAATTTTAAAGCTTAAAAATAAGGGAACTACCAAAGAGATCTGTCAGATTCTTATGCAAACCCAGCAAAATGAATGCAAACAAAATGACAGAGTGACATTTGTTTTATACTGGTTTTAATTTTTTTTAAATATCAAGTCACATAAACTTTATGGGTCCTAACAATATAGTAGATATTAAACAAAGAAATTTAAACTATTGAAGCCTTTTCTAAGCCTTCAATATCTTACACGTCATTAAAAGTTGGTAAAATTAAACTAATAATACAGTTTTGATGTAAGGGAAACAATGTTTATGTTTTACATAACCATGTAAATCACAGATCTAATCATGTTTAAGAAAGATCAATTATTTCCTGACATAGCGCTAGTTCTATGCAACTGCGAGGGGAGTTTTTTGTTTTGTTTTTTGGTTGTTAAAAAGTGAAGTACTGTATATATCTGTTTCTGGAGAACAATGTTGTATGAAGAATTATAGTTATAACATTTTCTCGTGTTTTTTCAAATCATGTTTTATTCCTTTGCAATAAAAATAGTTCTATCAAAAAACCTGTTTATTTCACTCATTCCAGTATTAAGATGTTATCTTGTGAACCAGGAGGTTTAAGTATCCGGGAAAAACACTTCTAAGACTTAGGTAACATTAAGCTAAAAACAATGCTATTGGTATTTATGTAGGCTTGGAAGGATTAGATTTTTATCAAGTAAATGTCAGTAAACATTGATTTCACTGAACACACAAAACCAACAAAATATTTCCATCGATAATAATTGTAATTTACAGATAGGCAAAGTAAGAAAAATGCTTTTTGAGAACTTCGAGTTTTATTTAAGGATATTTAGTTTGTATATTTTGACATATGTTGACAGTTTGTTTTAATGATTATAAAGCTTTAACTCTCCGAATCCAGCTATCTACAGTCATTAATTATCTGAACCCTCGTTGTCTGATCCCCAACTTCCCGCAACTGTGAAATTTAAAATCAATAAAAATAGAAAAAAGTGCTTAAAAATAAACATTGATACTAGCTAACAAAATTATACAGATAAAAATTGAATTCTGCCTAGCCTATAGTTATGCATTTGCTTATTTACTGATTTGAATATTTACTCATTCCTGCCCTTTTCTTCAGTTTAACTATTTTGTTATTCTGAAACATGGATTATAGCCATGATTTTCAAAAGTGACTTGTGATTTTTGTCTGCTTCCATTTTTGTGTGCCTAACTTGAAACAGCTTAAAGGGGACTGATTTGCAGAAAATGCACGGCATCCCCCTCTAAAAATCAAGTCCCTATAAAGCATATCAAGTTGGACATTCATCACACTAGTTTTTAAATTCTTGGCCTACATTTTTCTAGCAGCCTAATCAGAGAACCTTTCACCTCCAAGTTGTCAGTTCAAAGCCAGTTCAGTTTAGTAGTGATCAAAAAATCCTATTATTTGATGTCTATTCAGTGCTCTGTATCACATGAGTTTAGTGGTCTGACTAATTCACATAAGAAAAAATACCAATGCTCTTGCTGGGAGGAAGCTTTCATTCTCAGTGTTGCCTGTGCGGAACCAGTTTTCTAGTTAAAGAGAATTCCAGTCTTCAGGGCTATCCAGTTCAGAACCTTTTACAAGAAGTAACTTCACAGGAATAAATGGCTAAAAAACCAAAATTGTTGAATGCTACACAATGTTGAACTATGTCTCACACTATAGTTGCAAACAGATTATTACTATCACCATCAACAATAACTGCTGAGTTTTGTGAACCAAGTGAAACAAAGCCTAGAAATTGTCATGTCAGCTACTTATTCAGATAGGAGACATTGGACAGCAAACACTTTCTATGCGCCATTCCCAATTTATATATATATAAAAAATTAGATATGTTGGTCAAATTCTCCCTGAAAGTAAAGTTGTTTGTATGACTGGTATCACTGTGCTATCTTCAGTGAAAACAAAAGACAGAAGAAGAGTTTGACCATGTTGGTCATCTGGAATATTGCATCCAGTTTTGGGTCCCTCACTACAGAAGGGATGTGGACAAATTGGAGAGAGTCCAGCGAATGGCAACAAAAATGATTCGGGGGGAGGCACATGACTTATGAGGAGAGGGTGAGGGAACTGGGCTTATTTAGTTTGCAGAAGAGAAGAGTGATGTGGGATTTGATAGCAGCCTTCAACTACCTGAAGGGGGGTTCCAAAGAGGATAGAGCTCAGCTATTCTCAGTGGTGGCAGTTGACAAAACAAGGAGCAGTGGTTTCAAGTTGCAGTGGGGAAGGTCTAGGTTGGATATTCAGAAAAAACTATTTCACTAGGAGGGTGGTGAAGCACTGGAATGGGTTACTTGGGGAGGTGGTGGAATCTCCATCCTTAAGAGGTTTTTAAGGCCTGGCTTGACAAAGCCCTGGCTGGGATGATTTAGTTGGGGTTGGTCCTGCTTTGAGCAAGGGGTTGGACTAGATGACCTCCTGAGGTCTCTTCCAACCTGTCATCTATGATTCTTCTATGTTGATAATGAGGGTATTTACAGTAACAAGATACTTGAGTGATCAGATGGGTCAAAGAACTACTAATAATTGGGAAGCACTATTCAGTGAGCTGCATAATCTTTGGGGAAGATGAACAGGTGCAGCTCATTTCTAATCAGTGAAAATATGTATTACAAATAGAAAAAATAAAATTTAAAAATGCTAACTTTATTCAGTAAAAAGTTTAGATAAAGTTTATTGAATAAGACAACATGAGTAGAATAAACAGTGGCCTTGATCTACAGAAGTTATCTCTGTTTTAATGTAAATCCTGGATGTGTGTCTTCTGCTGCCTCTCAGCTGTTCTGGGAGCTAAAATGACATCCATTGAGATGTTCACCCTGTCTCCAAGGATGTTGTTTTGGGCAGTCCTGGCTCCCAGGGAGAAACACAAATGAAGAGAGATGGAGATGTGAAAAAAGACACAGGGAAGGGAAACAACATGTTTGTGGTAGATGAAAGGGGCATCTCGGCACACCTACACTACACTACAGCTACAGCTGCAGTTACTCCATTGTAGTGTAGACTCTTCAGCTACAGAAAGGGCTTTTCCAATGCTGTAGTAAATCCAGCCCCTGGAGAGGCAGTAACTAGAGCAAGGGAAGAATTCTTCTGTCCATCTAGCTGCCTCTAGGGTAGGAGTTAGGTTGACCTAACTATGCTGCACAGCTGTGATGTGACATTTTTCACAGCCCTGAGCAGTTTAGCTAGGTCGACCTAAATTTTAAGTGTAGACCAGCCCTCCTCATGAGCTGCCCTCTTTGCAGCAGCCCTAGGGAAGGGCTCCCTATCCAGTCCAGCCCCTGCCCTGCCTGGGCTGGGGAAAGACTGGACTCAAGCAGGGGAAGTGTGTGTGTGAGAGCGGATGGGGGTTGCCTCTTGCCTGTGTTCTCAAGCACTGAGCCACACACCCCCCACCACGGAACTACAACTCCCATGATGCTCCTGCGTCTTATGTCAGCAGCTGCGTGGTTCCCATGGTGACCAGGAGCTGGGCCCGAGGTCAGGGCGGCCCCTGAGCAGCGATGCCCAAACCCAGGTAACGAGGTGGCGGTGGCCGCCGCGTTCCTCCCCAGGGCTCCCGGTACAGGTTGGGGGCTCGGCGCCTCTGTATCCATTCAGCCGCTGCCTCCCCGTCCGTCCAGCACCTTCTGCCCCGTGCCGGGCCGCGCTGTGCGGGGCTGGGCCGTCTCCGCCCGCCGCCCCCGCCACTCCTGCCCGCGGGGGGCCCGCACCGCTCGGGGGGCTGGGAGACCCCCTCTGCGCCCGCCCCGCCGGCACCCCACGGGCCCCAGAGGAGGTTGGTGCTTTGGAGATACAGAGGTGGAGCCGCCGCCGGGCCCCTCCCTTCCGGGGAGCGGGGCTGTGACAGCGATGGGACGAGGGAGGCTTCTGGGAGCTTGTTTCCTCCGCCAGCAGGCTCAGGAAGACACAGCAGGCCAGTGAAATCAGAGGGGAGAGGGTCTGCCGTCACGGCCCACGTTTTCAAAGCGAGCAGCGCGGGGGGTCCCAGCATGGGACGGGTACTCAGCACTTCCGGAAACGTGGGCTGCTTTAGGCAGTTTAGGACAGACCCTCAGAAATCACTAATCTTTTGTGGCCTTTCAGAGATGTTAATGTCACCATCATCACCATGTGCTGCCAGCTTCCATATAAAGGATCAGTGGGGAAGTACCTTGACCCCACATTTCATACTTTGTGGTAGGAGCTGCTAAAACACCTGCAAGACTTCGAGGAAACCCAAACTTCAGCATTACATATGGACAGACGGCCATAGCTGGTTTTGGAAGTGTCTTCAATTATTTAGTGTAGGGATATGTCGGTACAGCTGTTCCCAGACTAGTTTTCTTGAGCTAGCTTCAGAGGGGTAGCCGTGTTAGTCTGGATCTGTAAAAAGCAACAGAGAGTCCTGTGGCATCTTTACTTTCTGTTGCTTGAGCTAGCTTGAATCCAGCTAGTGTAGGTAGCTGACTGTGCGGCACAGACTTCAGAGTGGGCTAGCAAGCTCGGGCTTCTACTGCCTATCTTGCACTGGCTTCACTGCTATTTTTACCCACATTCGCTTGATTCAAGCTAGCGTGGGTAGACGGGCCTGTGCACAACTTGTGCTCGGCAGATATACCCTATGTGCAGTTACCTACTACTGACATTGGAAGTTACAAAACATTAGTGAAATGGTACATGCTGCATTGAAACACATAGCAAAATCCTTAATTATCAGAGAAACAAGCTATTAAACTGTCTTAAAATTGCTTCCAAAATGAGAGAGTTTATCTACTAAACGTATGAGATTTTGCAGGTCTAGACTTCTCTATCATGCCTCTCTGTTCCACAGATTTATTTGTGATTTCTAAGGGGAGTTTCCTTACTGAAGCATAGCTAGTTCTGATCAAGGATGTATTCATATGCAGAGAGAATGTAGTATTCAAAATCTTCACTTGTCCTTTCAAACCTTAGAACCTATTCATATTTCCCACTATGAAGACATCTTATTTTGTTTTCTCTATTAGTGATACTCTGTGGGATATTGCTAAAGCTGAAGTGGAGAAAAAAGAAAATCTTGAAGGCAATGGAGATGGAGTGGAAGTTTGGGAAAAATCACTACTCTTTATGGGAAACAAAAATGGGGTAACACTGATACTATGCTTTATTTTATGTGATTGCTGTGCTTTCCTTGAAAATATTGTATACCACTGAAAACATATGCAATACCATATTTATTGCAGAAACAAGAAATCTTCCCCAATATGAATCTGTGCAGAGGGTTGGCATTCATGTGCAGAACAATTAGAAATGTTTCATGCTATTTACTCCTGAGGGCATTCTGCGCCAAAAAATTTCAAATTCTGCGCACAATATTTTAAAATTCTGCAAGTTGTATTTGTCAATAAATAAATGCAGAGGTTCCAGCATGGCAGTGGGAAGCACAGGCCACTGACTTGTGGAAGGGGGGAGATCACCCTGCAGCCCCCCTACCCTTGGGACACGGACTCGGCGGTGAGGCTGCACCCGACCCTGACACTGCACAAGGCCTTGGCTTGCCCCAGAAACACCCTGGGGCCCTGCCCCTCTGCATCAGGCGCACCAGGTGTGGGGCAGGCAGCTCAACTAGGCAGGATCCAAGTGTGAAGGGGCTCAGTGTGGGGGGGATCCAGGTGTGTGGTGAGAGGGTTCTGTGTGGGACAATCTGGCTGCAGGCAGCTCAGTGGGGGGGTCTAGGTGTGGGGGGGATCTGGATGCACAGAGGCTCGTTGGGGGGGTTCCAGGTATAGGGGCAATGGGACTCTGTAGGGGCTTCCAGGTGAAGGTTGGGGCTCAGTGGAGGGGTCTGGTTTTGGGGGGCTCAGCGGGGTGAGGGTCAGGTGCTGGAGGAGTGAGGCTTGGTGGGGTGGTGGTCTGGGTGCAGCTAGTTGGGAGTCAGTGGTATGGGGGTCGATGTGGGGGCTCAGGGTGGTGCAGGGGGTGGGGCATCAGTGGAGGGTTGAGTGTAGGGAGCTCGGGGGGGTCTGGGTATAGGAGTGGGGGTCTGGGTGCAGGGGGCCCCACTCATCCAGCATCTAGATGCAGGGGTTGAGGTGCAGTGGGGTGGGGTTCGGGTATGGAGGTCTAGGGAGGTTTTGAATGTGCCTGGTGAGGCTTGGCAGCAGTGTCTGGGTAATGGAAGTCCAGATGCATGGGAGTTGTGTGGGTCGGGGAGCAGCTCCCAGTACAGTGATCCCTCCCCTCACAGTTGAGGAGTGATGAGGGCAGAGGATGCTGAGCTTCCTGGCAGAGGTTTCTGGGGGTGTGTCTGACAAAGCCCCAGACACTCCTTGCAGAGGAAAAGGAAGGCCTGTTCTCTCCTGCCTCCATCCCAGCCGGGACTAGCGGCTGATTCCGGCTCAGGGTAGGAACCACTGGCTTTGGTGTCCCCAGCCCCGGGGTGATTTATCTCTCTGCTGGCTGCTCCGGGTGCCTGAAATGATGTATCTGCTCTGTTAGAGAGTGGTGCATGACTGCTCTTGCAGCTTCCTTTTGCTTCCCTGTCAGAAAGTCATTTTTCTGCAGGAAAGCAAGGAAATCTGCAGGGGACATGAATTCTGTGCACGCGCAGTGGCACAGAATTCCCCCAGGAGTATCTATTTTATGCCTTTTTATTCTGTCAGAAGCTCACTTTTGTGCTAGAAATAAGCCATTCTACAACCATTCTTCTTCATCAGTGAATAAACATAGCAGGTATCGTTTCATTTAAAAAACAAACAAACCGAAAAACAGCAGACAGAAATAGAGTCCTATTTTTTAGCTCCTGACATCTCATCCATGCAAAGGTATTTTTGAACACAGAATGTTAATTAGTAAAAGTCTAACTCAGGAGCATTGGTAATCAGTATTATAACTCAAAAAGTGTCGCATCCAACATAGTGGAATTCTATGTTGCTCTTCATCTTGTCAGATAAAGAGGAACAGATCACAGAACTAAAAAAATAATGGTAACTTAAGTACAAGTGATCATGACTTGATCACATTTATAATGTGCAATAAAGTCCAGACCAATAACATATACATAGTGCTTTAAAAGGGCCAATTTCACGAAGCCAAAAATAATCATGAACGAAGTCAGCCAGGAGAACTTAATCAGAAAAATGTGAATGATAATTGGGAATTGTTTAAGAACACTTTCCTATGTGACTCAAAAGCTACAGTTAAGAATGGCTATATTAGTTAAAAAAACAACCTGGTTTAGAGGGAAAGAGAAGGTAGCTATAAAAATTATAAAGACAAATGGAAGAGAGGGGAAGTTGATAGTAATGAATATAAATCAGAAGCTAGGAATTGAGGAAAATAGATACGGGAAGCAAAGGGATGTAAGGAGAAATCTATGGCCGGCATAGTTAAGGACAATAAGGAGTTTTTTAAGTATACTAGCAACAAAAAGAATCCTAACAATGGTATTGGTCCATTACTAGATGGAAATGGTAGAATTATAAATAATAATGGAAAAAAGGCAGAAGTGTTCAATACATATTTCTGTTCTGTATTTGGGAAAAGAGATTATGTAGTCACAAATGACAACAGTCTTTCCATTCCACCAGTATTTCAAGAGTATGGTAAACAGCATCTACTAAAGTTAAACTTTTTTATGTCAGCTGGTCTGGATAACTTGCATCCAAGAGTTTTAAAAGAACTGGCGGAAGAGGTCGCTGGGCCATTATTGCTGCTTTTCAATAAGTCTTTGAACACTGGGAAAGTCCCAGAAGGCTGGAAGAAAGTTAATGGAGTGCCAATATATAGAGGCCCATGTCCATCTTTCCCCATCAGGCCCGGGGGGAGATCATCGCTTCCACATCTCTATAAAGCAGGCTTAAAGGGGAATTAGCAGCCTAGGGGCTGAGGCCCACTGGCAGGGTGAAGTGGCAAGCAGTCTAACACCTGATGTCCTGACTCAGGCAGATGGCAGACAAATGCAGGTCTCTTGGCCCAAGGTGGGTAGTCAGTCACCCCAGGGGTGGGGCGGCCATAGGAGGGTCGGAGGACTCAGGCCCACTGTACTTCACCAGGTTCCACCCCAGGGCCCTAACAGTGGCAGAGGGCTCCACAACTGGACTACTGTGTCTGGTTTCCCTGGACTACTTCCTACGATTCCCTCACCAGGTACCTTTATCTCGTGGGGTTCCTCCATCTTCCTGGGGTACATAGCCAGCACCAGTCCCAGCAGCTCTTCAGCATCCTTATTGGTTGGCAGTCCCTTCGAGTCCTCGGTGCTCCATAGATCCCTCTTGGGTGCAGGCCCCAGCAGTGGGCAGGAAGCATCTGTCTCCTTTGCAGGCTCCAGCCCCACTGAACTGCAGGGCCCGCCTTTTAAACTTCCTGTCCCACCTCTCTGCTTCCGACAGGGTGGGAATGGCTTGTCTGGCTTTGCCCACTAGGGGGTGGGTTGTGGTTCCTCCCTGTCAGGCCCGGTGGGAGACCACGCCCCCTTACTATACAATATTTTAAAAGGTAACTGGGATGCCCAAATAATTATAAGCCTGTCAGTCTGATATCGACCCTGGGCAAGATAATGGAGTGACCGATACAGAACTCAATTAATAAAGAATTAAAGGAGGGTAATATAATTAATACCAATCAACAAGGGTTTATGGAAAATAGATCCTGTCAAACTAACTTGATATCTTTTTTTTTTTTTTTTGGATGAGATTACAAGTTTGATAAAGGTAATAGTGATGATGTAGTATACTTAGACTTATGTAAGGCGTTTGACTTGATACCTCATGACATTTTGTTTAAAAAACTAGAATGATATAAAATTAATATGGCACACCTTAAGTGGATTACAAACTGACTAACTGGTGGATCTCAAAATGTAATTGTAAATGGGAAATCATTATTGATCAGGTGTGTTTCCAGTGGGGTCCTGCAGAGATCAGTTTTTGACCCCTACACCAGTGGTTCTCAAACTTTTGTACTGGTGACCCCTTTCACATAGCAAGCCTCTGAGTGTGACCCCCCTTATAAATTAAAAACAGTTTTTTACATATTTAACACCATTATAAATGCTGGCTGCAAAGCAGGGTTTGGGGTGGAGGCTGACAGCTCGCACCCCCCATGTAATAACCTCGCGACCCCCTGAGGGGTCCTGTCCCCAGTTTGAGAACCCCTGCCCTACACTATTAAACATTTTTATTAATGACCTGGAAAAAGACATAAAATCATCCTTGATAAAGTTTGCAGATCACATAAAAATTGGGGAAGTGGTAAATAATGAAGAGGAAAGTTCACTTATACAGAGCGATCTAGATCACTTGGGAAGCTGGGCGCAAGCAAACAACATATGTTTCAGTACAGCTAAAGGTATAAATCTAAGAACAAAGAATGTAGGCCATACTTATGAGATTGGGGCTCTCTCCTGGGAAGGAGTACATTTTATAAAAGATTTCAGGATCATGGTGGATAATCATCTGAACAAGGGCTGCCAGTGTGATGCTGTGGCCAAAAGAGCTAATGCGATCTTTAGATGCCTGAAGAGGGGAATCTTGAGTAAGAGTAGAGAGACTATTTTACCTCTCTGTACTTGGCACTGGTGTGACCATTGCTGTAATATGTTGAATTCTGGTGTCCACAATTCAAGAAGGATGTTCATAAATTGTGGAAGGTTCAGAAAAGAGGCAAGAGAATGAATGATTAAAAGGATTAGAAAACATGCCTTACAGTAATAGACTCAAGGAACTCCGTTTATTTAGCTTAAGAAAGAGAAAGCTATGGGGTGACTTGATCACAGTCTATAAGTATTTATATGTGGAACAAATATTTAATAATAGGCTCTTCAATCTAGCAGAGAAAGGAATAATACAGTTCAATGGCTGGAAGTTGAAGCTAGACAAATTCAGTCTGGAAATAAGGCATATATTTTTGACAGTGAGAGTAATTAACCATTGGAACAATTTACCAAGGGTTGTGGTGGATTCTCCATCACCAACAATTTTTAAATCAAGATTGGATCTTTTCTAAAAGATATGCTTTAGGAATTATTTTGGGGACATTTCATGGCCTGTGTTATATGGGAGGCCAGACTAAATTTTCACAATCGCCCCTTCTGGCTTTGGAATCTGTGAATCTATATAGGCCCTGGGATCCTGATAAAACTTATGTCTATGCTTAATTTTATTCATGTTTGTAGTCTCTATGACTCCAATGGAACATAAATTTAAGCATGTAAATAAGTGTTTGGAGAATCAGGGTCTTAGACTGGATACTGGAGTTCATAACATTGATCCACTGTCTCTTATGCTTACTCAATTGCTTCTCCTCTTTCTCCCCACCTTTTTCTTGATAACTATTTGTTGGAAATATAAATAAGTCAGAACTTGCCTTTTTATCTCTCTAAGTGAATTGAAGCATATGTGTGTTTCATTATTACTGCAGAGAAGCGTGGCATTGTGCAACATGTAATCTTGTATAAGCATTAAGAATAGATAAATGGGTTTTGCAGATTTATAAAAAAAATTGTTTCTGAAATTCCAATATGTGATTACAAATAGGGAAGAAACTTTACAAGTGCTAGGACCTTTTTTAAATTAGACTGACCTAACTTGGAATCTGAATCCGAATAGTGCAGAGACATGCTGTTTAACTGTGTTAGTTCATGAATTCGTTTTACTTCCATCTCAATTATGATTTACACATATTCACTGGAAACCAATCATTAGATTAACTTGTTATTAGCAATTAACAACAGTTAAACAGTTTAACACAGTTGGCCAGACTGATCACTAATATATTGTCTGATTTTAGGTATCCTGTTGCTATTACTGTATTTGTCATATCCAGCAATTTATTATAATTATGTTAATAGCAGTGTAGCTACATTCTGATAGAAAGTAGGCACTTAACTTTCTAGTAATCAGACTACAAATGACTGCATAAGTTTACAGTTTTCAGATGCATTCTTTTAATCATTCCAATAACGAAGCATTACAGTATATACAATTATATAACTTTTATGCTTTAATGATATTACAATAGTGTTCTTCATTGTTTTTAATTTCCAGGGAAAGACTACTATTATACTGAGGTGTCTTGACAGGTATGTGTTAAGTTTTGAAAAGTATTTTGCATCTCTGGGAGTAATATCAATAATATTTTTATAAAAGTCTTACAGAGAATATTATGTGCCAGTAAAAGAAAGTTATTGTGTAAAAATATGGATGGCGAGTAGATTAAATTTTCTCGCTAGTGACCTGATGCATGATTTGTGAAGGGTTAATGCTATCTAAATATCTATAATGTGTTAGTAAAACATTTTGGCATTTGGAGCCAGATTTCTAGAGTGCTGTCACTGGTAGTTTGAGAGCTCAGTCACAGTATGCGTGTGCACAGTTGTGAACATTTGGTCCTCTGTGTCCCTTTGATATCCATTAAGGAACTGGCACGCCTACTGTCTGTCTTGAGTTATTCTCTTTATATTCCTGTTTTCCCAATATAAATTCTCTACTGTTTGGTTAATAAATTGAGTTGAGGTAATGGTAAAAGTTACTGTATGTTAAGTAAATTCAGAAGATCTTGAAAGAATATATGCAGGTGACATATACTGTATCTTCATTGGATAGGGATGAAATTCCAAAACCAACATTAGCCTTGGAATATACTTTTGGAAGAAGAGCAAAAGGTCATAACAGAGTGAGTACATGGCAAAAGTACTATAATATTTTTGTTGTATAGCTCATTCATTAGTAAAACCTAACTAGTGACTTTCTCTTTTGACTCAACAATCATCTGCGAGACAGAAAGTATTTCAGTTTGAATTTTACTTCAGTTTTTGGAATGCTTGGCTAGCTTTCCTTTTTGCATTTTGATCTACAGCATGTTTCTCCTTTACATTGAGAATGGGTGATATTTTGGTCTGTTATACATATCTTCTCAAATGAAGAGATTGATATCTTTCATGAGCAGGGCTCTGTGTATGATGTAATCATGCATGTGTGTACATGCTTATACTTGCCTATTTTTCACTTGCCACATAGATTCTGGAGCAAAATTAGGTTCTCATTTAACAAAAAACAAAACAAACACCCACAACAACAGTTTTGTCGTCGTGGTTCCAAAGGTAACCTTCAAAATGTGAACTGAATTTAAACCAGTGTAGTGGTATCTGACTACAGTCAGCCTGCAGTCATAATTATGGGAGAAGTATGAACTTCTCTATCAGTCTTGGTGGGTGTTAAAACTGAAATCTAATGATAGTTCAAGCATCAACATCAACTATTTCATGCTGATTGTTTTAGTAGAAACATTGAGCTACTGTGCTTGTCTTTTATTGCATGACAGATTGACAGATAGTGGGCAATGGGGTAGCTAGTTGCTGTTGGGTTGTGGGCAATGTTCCCTCTAATGTTTTCCATCCATGTGCGGAATAAATTATGTTCACCAAGGTGATGTGCGGATGTGCGCCACTGGTAGAAACAGAAAACCAAGATATAATATCTATTTTTAAAAAGTTACCGTAGGGATAATTACTCCAGCCAGGACAGGTTAGGCATTTTAGAACTCACTGCTCAAAGAATTAAATTGAAGTGTAAGAGAAATAATAATTATGAAATGCACAGACTAGTCAAAAAACTAAAATAACACACTTTGAAAGAATATAATTACAGAGAATATATGTGCATTGCAGGAAGTACCAAGAAATAACAACAACAACATTAATACAAGTATGTGTTGGGAGGTGAGTGTGAAAGACTGTATGTGTGAGACACAGAGACTGTGTGTGTGTGTGTGTGTGTGTGCGCGTGCACGCGCTGCCTGCTGGGGAAGTCTCTAAGAGACCCTACACTGTCTCTTTAAGGCACTCACTCAACCCCGGAAGGCTCGTTCAGACCACAGCAGCTCTCCTGCTCCTGAGCCCTATCTCCCCTCCCCCGCTCTGCGTAGATGGGGTACATGTTGGCAGGGGGGAGGGGTACGGGGACACCCTCACATCAGCACACACACACCCCGGCTCTGCACAGCCAGCATGAGGGTCCCAGGAGTAGCTGGCGAGGGCTCCAAGGCAGAGGGCAGGAACAATGTGGCTGCAAAGCAGCGGGGGAGGGGCACCTGAACACACGTTGCCGGATGTGCGTGGCTCTGCTAACCAAGTGCACAGCACTTGAATCACTCCTGGGCGGCCGCCCGACCACGCAGCTTAGAGGGAACACAGGTTGTGGGGTTGGGGACTGAGAAATTCAGGACCCTCTTTGAAATGTTAAGTCACCTTATGGACCTGATTCTCCATTGAAGTGTATTTTTAGTTATTTTCACCACTACAAAGTGGGTTTAAATCACTCCTATAGTGTTTTAAAGCCATTTTATATTTACTTGACACTGATGTAAATGAATGTGCATGGTACAAGGGCAACAGAGAATCAAGTCTTATGTGCTTAAAAGTCCTGTGTGCGTCTAACCATTCAATTTCCTCCTCACACAGGTGTACACATCCCCTCCTATTCACCACCTAAGGTTCAGCTGTCTTTGATCCTTCCATGCTACTCTGGTCTTTATGTGCTTAAAGTGGTAGGGACGGGAGGGAGAAGACAACTGGGCATGACAGGGAAGAAAGAAGGTTTTGGTTTGGGGGCAGGATATCTATGCTGCATAAATAGGGAGTTGTCTATATGGGAAGTTAGTGCGGAATAAGCTAGGGTGTGAATTTAAAGTGCAGTAGCTACTCCACACTAACTCCCTGGATAGACAAGCCCTAAGAGATTGTGGCCACATAATTAACTTGTAATTTGACACATAATTCATGGGACAAGCCTCATGTGCTATGCTGTGCTCCTGTACTGTGCTCATTGCACATAAGGGACCCGTCTGTTGCCATTGTTACAACAACTGGAAACTTCTGATGGTGTTACCTGGAAATACAAATTCCTAATGCAAAGAAACTGTTTTGCAGCCAAAAGACATTGCACATTTTTGGGAACTAGGTGGTGGAACCTCATTATTGGACTTGATTCGTATACCAATAACTAATGACAACATAAGGTAAGTGATAAAGAACCTTACAATGTCAGAGTTAATTTTGCTTAAATGAAAACTGAGATTAAATCTCGGCCATTTTGTTGTGGAGAAATCTTCCAAAATGTAAACTGTTTACTAGGTTTGAAAGTTTTTATCAGAGTGTTTTTTCCTAAAAATCAGTTATGCTTATTGGTGGAGGGACACCCCAACTGCCACTGATTAACAGCTGTGAGCTCCTTCCTTCCTTCCTGTAAATAGTCCTGCTTCTCAGCTGTCTCCAGCCATACGGGGAGGTAGCATGTGGAAGGGTAGACTCACCAGCCAATGCATCCCTTCGTTGTTGGGTACAGCATAGCAGGGTGTCCTCCTCTAGCACCTCCTGCCAAAGGTTGCTCCAGTCCTTCCGTAGTCGGCCTCTTCTTGCGACTTGGGCCTCCAGCCAAGTCACATATAGTCTCGCCCCTTCCAGGTAACAAAAACAAAAAACCCAAACAAAATTCCCAAAATGTCCCAACACAAAAGAGCTTCTGTCCCCTCTGGGACTATTCCTCAGCCTATCCTTGAGGCTCTGTCTTCAGTCCCACCCTGGGCTGAATAGTCCTTACATCTGGCTTGTATGCTCCTTCCTTGGGGTTGGTAGGGGATTCCAGCTCAGGGAACCCTGTATTAAGCAACTAGGTGTGCTCCTTCAGACATGCTGCTGTTTCCCTGGGCTACTTCTTATCTCCAAGACCTTCGTGCTGCTTTCCTGGAGTCTGTGGTTAGCACAACCTCTCCTCTGGTTCCCAGGCCTCTGAATTCTCCTGAGATACTCCCAATTCCTTCTTTAGCTCTAGAACACTGCTCCCTCAGGAGTGCCTCTCTGTGCCTGGCCCCCTTTCTAGGGCTTACCCCAGGGATTAATTCTATCCCTGTGGCCTTTTTGTATCTGCCTTCCCAGAGAGAGGGCAATCTTCTCTCTCTTGGGTTTCTCTGTCTTTAGTCTCTCATATAGCTTTCATTTACTCTTATGAAGAAGACCCAGCTCCTTCCCAGCTGGATCTCATAACAGATCAAGCCTGACACACCATCCAGGTGTAGCAAGGTGGGCCAAATGAGCTCTCAGACTTCTGTTAACTCTTTGTTCACTTATGTGGGGTAGACACCCCATCATATAATTCCGTGGAGAGGATGGCTCATGCGTAGGTAGGGACATAGGAGGTACAGAAGAAGAAGGGACCCAGCCTGCTCTCAACTGGACTGTCGAGAAAGCAACTTAAGAGGTGTAGAAAACAGAATATGGCTGCCCAATGCTGTCAACCTCCAGGAGCAGCCTGTTGAAGGATTTGTCTACGATTAAAACCCTTACAGCACCACTGTTGCGCCGCTGTAACGCTTCTGTATAGACACTACCTTTGCTGACAGGAGGGGATCTCCCATTGGCGTAGGTAATCCACCCACCCAAGAGTCAGTAGCTAGGTTGACCTAGCGCTGTTTACACCGGGGGTTAGGTCAGCTTAACTACACTGCTCAGAGGTTGACCTAACTTTTTAGTGTGGACCAGGCCTAAGAGAGCAGCATGTTGGAGTGGGAGAGAAAGGTGTACCTCACTGATGGAGGAGAGAGAAATCAATCATGGGGAGAGAAAAACCCGACCTTAATGAAGGAGAAGGTGGAGTGGTGTGGACCTCATGGAGCTAAGGGAGAGGAAGAAGAAAAAAGATATGCGGTCCCTATGCAGCTTGAAAGAGGATGATAGATGAAGTTTCTGAGAGAGGTAGGGGACAGATACTGCAATACAGGGGAGAACAGAGGGAAGAGAATGTGGTGGAAATGGATCAGAAAGAATGGAGTAAGGGCAGCAAGAAGAGGCAATGTAGTGTGGAAGAAAATAAATGACTAAATGAGGAGAAAACAGATACAGCATTTCATATAAAGAACACGAGGAGAGTAAGGAGAAAGGATAATAAAAGAGAAAACAATAAGAGAAAAAAGAAAGGAGAATAGAATGATTTGGAGATAGAAAGAGAGAAATGATTTTTCGGGTTAGTAAGTTTTATTTAGTGTTTTTTATGTTCTGATATTTTATTGCTTTATTCCATTGGCAGATTCCCATATCTTCAGGTTTTGTAGAAAGCATTGGAATGGCTTGGTATTTGAGCACTTACTTACTGTCTGTATATTATTGTACTGGCTACTCTGGATTCTGTCATTGCATAATGAGAAAAAATATTTAAAAAATATCGCTGTAGCCTCTGGGAGCCTAGTTGCTCCTGGAGACCTTTGGCTACTTTGGAGAATTATCATTTGAATTTTTTTTTTCAAACATTGCCCCCAGTGCATGGACTCCAGCATTAACTGCTGAACTCCACTTCTTCTGGAATGGAGGAGGCTGGTAGCCGCCTGAAGATCCTTTCCTCTGTCTTTATGGTAAATGAATCTTTTAATTTGAATGACCCAGGGCCTAAAGAATCTTCTCTCTGCCCCTCCTAAGACTGGCCCTGTCAATAAGACAACATTACAGTGCACCAGTGCAGTTGTCATGTTTGCAAAGACAATATTTTCATTTTGTTTCACCACCAGCACAAATACTTTTTCGGTGGTTTTTCTGTCCACCTGTAATAAAGAAGCTTGTTTATTTTAAACTACCTTGAACTATATCTAGTTTAGCCAAGACACTTTCCATTAGATTTTTCATGGCATGACTTGGTGAAATTAGAGATTTATCTTGCTCTGTAGCTCTTCTGATTTCCCTCCAGTCTGGAATCCACATAGTAAAACATGGTGTTCCTATAGAGCCTGGTTGAAACCAGCAGTCAGTCCTCTGCTATTAGTGGCATTCTGTTTCAGACATGTGTTTCAAGTGCTCTGTGTTTGTTTGGATTTTATTAATCTCTTCCTCTCAGGGCCGACCTTAAACCAATGCAACCTTTTAGTATGTATAGGGTACCATTCTTCCAAGGATCATTAACCTCACATCTCCTGATCTACCACCCAGAGCATCAGCCTCAGTTTGTCATCTGAGGTCCCTTCTAACTGGCACCACAAGCCATGGCACAGAATAAATTTCCTTACTATCTTCTTCTACTTCCTGATTGGAAGGTTGCACTTTGGTTACTCTTCTGAGTTTCTGGGCCATGTAGGTGATCACTAAAAGTCAGGAACTTTCATAAGCAGGAGTTTGCCATAACTTAAATAGGGATTTCAGGTAGGCAAGAGTTGATTGGGGTGCATGAAGAGATTATGTTGAAATGCCTTGTCATACAACAGGCGGGAGCAAAATGAGTCCCTGACACTTGCAGGTACTACTTGTATTCAAACAAAATTTCCAGAAATAAAGTTCAACAATAAAGCACCCACAAATCAGTGATGAGGAGTGGAAGAGTCAAAGGTTCAGAAATTCAGCTACAAAGACAATTTAAAAGGTTTCAGCAGAGTTCAGAGTATGCTTAAGGGCCATCGCTTGTTCTGCAACCTTTAATACAAGCTTCCTCTCTGGTTGTTTTTTTTCCCCATTTGTTTTCAGCAGTTGTACTGAGGGAAAAATGTTGTTTATGAAAAATGTAATTGTCTTATGTACCAAAGATTAGACGGAATAAGAACTCTTCTGTCCCTCCTCCCCTCTCTTTTTTTTTATTTAATATATAGGACTTTTGCTATAATTCTTGTTTTGGACCTTTCCAAACCTAATGAACTGTGGCCAACCATGGACAGTCTCCTACAGGTCACCAGGAACCACGTGGATAAAATTATAACTAAACTGGGAAAAACAAATCCTAAAGTAGCTACTGAAATTAAACAGAGAATGTGGAACAATATGCCGAAGGATCACCCAGTAAGATTCTTCTAGTATTTTCTCCAGATGTCATAGGCCTTTATATAGTTAAGGATAATACTTGTGAAAATCATAAATAACTCTTTTAGATTTTTATGCATGACTGAAAATCCATTTTATGTAGATGAACCTGTTCACTGGAAAATTATAGCAATTTAATAAAAATTCAGTAAGAGCAGAAACAAGGAAAGACAGTTTCTTATATCTTCTTCATAGACATCTAATGTGATTGTTATGGCATGTTACACCAATCACAAGAAACAGAGTTTTAGAGTAGCAGTTTGATATTGATTTTATAATCTTTTTTAAAATGAAGATGAAAACTAGAATGTACAGAAGAAGTCATCTGGCAAGAGACTAGATGAAGGTACAAATTTAAGCAGAGTATAGTTATAACAGCCTTCAACACGACTATATACTTTGCATTTATTCAAGTGTCTATCACAAACTCAGTGCCTTTTGATAATCTGACAACTAATTAAATTATAAAGTTTCAGAGATGTTAACACCAGACCCTTAAATGCAATTGCTAATGTAATCTCTTGAAAAAGCTAAAATAGATTGTGGGAAATACAGCTGAAAACGTATATGGCACTGTGAATTCAAGTTGTACAAATGTTATGTGTATGCAATTCCTAAACAAATATTCTACAGTTCACAGATTCTGAATATAAATTCTGCTACAGTAACTTATGTAACACAATATGATAAAGAAAATGCTAATAAGGCTCCAAAAAGTGAAAAGCAAAGATGTATTAAGTAAGAAAGTAAATGCATATGATGCTTAGCAGATTTGTTTACAGTGTATGGTCCCAATACTGTAGCCCTTACTCATGTGAGCAATCCCATTCACCTCAATGGATGTAAAGGTTGCAAGATTAGATTCAATAATATGACTTTCTTAAGGACTTCCAAGGTTGATGTTCAACTTTTTTAGAAAAGGTAGTTTCTGAAAATAAAATATTACTTTAAAATGCAGCTGGCTACAACCCATGACCACAAACATACAGATGCCCCAGTTGCCAGCAACTTTAGAATACAGGTTTTTTCAGCACCTTAAAAGCACAGACTCATCCTTTAGCTCAAATGGTAATAACTGCATCAGTTGTCAGTAAGAAACAGGGTTTTTATCCTTGTGGAGGCAGGCAGGCCTCTAAAGGGAACATGATCACACATGCTAAACTAGTATATTAATTCAACCCCTGAATACGAAAGTAGGGTAAACGTCTTACTAATCACTTCACATACAACTATTATTTTTCAAATGTATGTCAACTCAATTCAAAAGCAGACTTGTTTGTGAGGTAAACAAGATTTGTCTCTTACAATGGAGGAAGCACAGAGCAGATTAGAGACTATCTACAGAGGAAATGATGGGGTTCTACTGGGGGAATGATCATGGGCATCTCACTGGAAGGAACAGGATTGAACAAGGAGTTTTAGAGTGGGAATGGGAGAGCATGAGTGCATCGGGAGAATCTCTTAAAAATAAAAAGGCTGAGGGGTATGCATTAAGTACTTTTTAGTGGCAATGAGGAAAATAATCAGACAAGGAGAGTCCAAGAGCACTAGTCCCTGTATGTAATTTTTTTGTCCTGAATTAATTTTTAGTTTCTCTTTTGATTAAGGAAATTGTAATGCTTCCCCAACCCCTTGGGTCCACACATCAAATTTTAAGTAAATGAAAAGCCTAGCGAAATGTGTTGGCTTGACAGTGCTAATGAACGAAGTCCCCTCTATTTCCCCCCACAAAGCACTGGATAGGCAATGGTTCGAGTTTTCCTCTAACACCGATACTTTGCCTTAACCCTTAGTTGGAGGAACCTTCACTAAAGCAGAGAAGATAGTTCATTCTTTAGGATCATTTTTTTCCTTATTCAATAAGTTGGAACGGCCAAGAAGGTTGCCATGCCAGTTTCAGCCAACTGTGATGTAGCCATCTGTCCGCTAGAAACTGACCATCTCATTTCACATAGATCACTGAAGTGTTGTCAGATGGTAATAGCTTTAAGTAACTACCAACCTGAACCTGATGTAAGCCAATTACCTATAGGTATAAAACTACTTAGCCTGTTACTCATCCCCTGAGCCATCAGCTTAATCCTATTTTATTGAGCACCTAGTACTTGCATGTTAATAATTTTCTGTACAAATGTCAAATAAATAATGTATGCACCTCTTAGCTAGGTTTGTTTATATTACAAATACAAATTATATTTTCAAAAAGTATACTGTACATCATACACTTGACCTTCGTCAGGATCCTAGATAAGCCCTTCTGTTAGCTTCAGTGAATCATAGAAGATTATGTTTGGAAGAGACCTCAGGAGGTCATCTAGTCCAAGCCCCTGCTAAAAGCAGGACCAACCCCAACTAAATCATCCCAGCCAGGGCTTTGTCAGGCCGGGCCTTAAAAACCTCTAAGGATGAAGATTCCACCACCTCCCTAGGTAACCCATTCCAGTGCTTCATCCTCCCCCCAGTGAAATAGTTTTTCCTAATTACCAACCTAGACCTCCCCCACTGCAACTTGAGACCATTGCTCCTTGTTCTGTCATCTGCCAGCACTGAGAACAGCCAAGCTCCATCCTCTTTTTGGAACCCCCCTTCAGGTACTTGAAGGCTGCTATCAAATCCCCCCTCACTCTTCTCTTCTGCAGACTAGATAACCCCAGTTCCCTCACCCTCTCCTCATAAATCATGTGCCCCAGCCCCCTAATCATTTTCGTTGCCCTCCACTGGACTCCAGTTTGTCCATATCCTTTCTGTAGTGGGGCGCCCAAAATTGGACGCAATACTCCAGATGTGGCCTCACCAGTGCCGAATAAAGGGAAATAATCACTTGCTGGCAACGTTCCTACTAATGCAGCCCAATATACCGTTAGCCTTCTTGGCAACAATGGCACACTGTTAACTCATATCCAGCTTCTCGTTCACTGTAATCCCTAGGTCCATCTCTGCAGAACTGCTGCTTAGCCAGTCGGTCCCCAGCCTGTAGCAGTGCATGGGATTCTTCCATCCTAAGTGCAGGACTCTGCACTTGTCTTTGTTGAACCTCATCCGATTTCTTTTGGCCCAATCCTCCAATTTGTCTAGGTCACTCTGGACCCTATCCCTATCCTCCAGCATATTTACCTCTCCCCCCAGTTTAGTGTCATCTGGGAACTTGCTGAGGGTGCAATCCATCCCATCATCCAGATCATTAATTAAGATGTTGAACAAAACCAGCCCCAGGACCGACCCCTGGGGAACTCCGTTTGATACTGGCTGCCAACTGGACATCGAGCCATTGATCACTACCCGGTGAGCCCGGCGATCTATCCGCCTTATAGTCCATTCATCTAATCCATACTTCTTTAACTTGCTGGCAAGGATACTGTGGGAGACCGTATCAAAAGCTTTGCTAAAGTAAAGGTATATCACATCCTCCACTTTCCCCATATCCACAGAGCCCGTTATCTCATCATAGAAGGCAATCAGGTTGGTCAGGCATGACTTGCCCTTGGTGAATCCATGTTGACTGTTCCTGATCACCTTCCTCTCCTCCAAATACTTCAAAATAGATTCCTTGAGGACCTGCTCCATGATTTTTCCAGGGATTGAAGTGAGGCTGACCAGTCGGTAGTTCCCCGGATTCTCCTTCTTCCCTTTTTAAAAGATAGGCAAATAAAGTGCCCTTTTCCAGTCGCCTGGGACCTCCTCCGATCGCCATGAGTTTTCAAAGATAATGGCCAATGGCTCTGCAATCACATCAGCCAACTCCCTCAGCACCCTCGGATGCATTAGATACGGCCCCATGGACTTGTGCATGTCCAGCTTTTCTAAATAGTCCTTAACCTGTTCTTTCACCACTGAGGGCTGCTCACCTCCTCCCCATACTGTACTGTCCAGTGCAGCAGTCTGGGAGCTCACCTTGTCTGTGAAGACCGAGGCAAAAAAAGCATTAAGTACTTCAGCTTTTTCCACATCATCTGTCACTAGGTTGCCTCCCCCATTCAGAAAGTTTCCCTGACCTTCTTCTTGTTGCTAACATACCTGTATAAACCCTTCTTGTTACCCTTCACATCCCTTGCTAGCTGCAACTCCAATTGTGCTTTGGCCTTCCTGATTACACCCCTGCATTCTCGAGCAATATATTTATACTCCTCCCTAGTCATTTGTCCAAGTTTCCACTTCTTGTAAGCTTCCTTTTTGTGTTTAAGCTCACTGAAGAGTTGTGTTTTAAGCCCAGGTTGCCACCCACTTCTACTTCCCCTACAAATTCCTCCCTGTTTGTGAGCAGCAGGTCAAGAGGAGCATGGCCTCTAGTTGGTTCCTCCAGCACTTGCACCAGGAAGTTGTCCCCAACATTCTCCAAAAAATTCATTTCCTCCCTATTCAGCACTCTGCTTGGTATTGAGAGGGCCACATTAGGCAGCCAGTTATGGCTCCTTGATCCCATGCTGGGCCAGCCCTGGTACTTCTCTAACTTATACTCTCTAACGCACTTCTTTCCTTCCTTCCATTCATTTACATGCCCTTTGTGTTGGGGTGGGAATGCCTGGTGCAGGAGCCATTTCCACCAGGTTTATGCCAGAAAGGAATTCCCTTCCTCAAGAGATGTTTTTTTTTTTCCTCCTGGACATTTGTGGAGAGATTGTATTAGAAAATATGGCCCTTTGTAATTATACTGCATAAAGTTTTGTGTCTAAGATTTTGATATCTTTTAAAAATTATTCTCATCCTGTTTTCTGATGTTTAGCTGTTTTATTGTGCTCTTGTGACTTGTTTATGAGGTTTTAAATGTATTATGTTGTTTAACAGGATCATGAATTAATTGACCCTTTTCCAATCCCTCTGGTGATAATTGGAAGCAAATATGATATTTTTCACGTAAGTGATATTTTATATATATTTTTCCATTCAGTTTTATTTATTTAGATTTAAAAATAATTAACAAGACATCTAGCCTAAGCTCTATGAACCCTAACACATGATTAATAATGCAATAAAATCCCAGTAAAGTGATCATTGGAACAGGAACCCAGCCACCTACAGTAACTCCTTTTCACCCCTTCATCATTATGGGAAGCATACCCTCATCCTTCTCAAAAACCTTTGCAAACACTTATCTTTTCCAGCATGTCTGGAAGATCACCAGATTTGGTCTGTTTCAGACAAAGACAAAGATCCAGAGTACTCCCAAAGAATGCCCTGCCTGACACAACCTCTTTTTTATAATAAGGGGAATCCAGCTTTGGTGTCCATGCTGACTGCAGTTGTGGCAGTATGGCAGAGGGAGAGAGGCGATCCCTCCGGTAGGTTGGGCCGGTTTGGGAAGCTGGGGCAGCCTAGGCAGCAAAATGAGTTATGCTCACTTCTTAATTCTGGAATATTAGTTTTAAACTCTTGCTTACACAGTCATTTGTCATCTGATTTAGAAAGGACAAGTCAGTGAGTGGTCACATCTTCTAATGTCTCTCGGTAAATTAACTGATAAGCAATGTCAAAGAGCAGTGCAGTTGGTTCTCTCTGTTATAAAAAAAAATTCAAGAAATGCACTGTTCATTTTTATGAAGCAGTTGATCTTCATGGCCTGAACAGACATATTGTGACAGCTTCCATACTGAGTCCTTTAGCTGGCAGTATAATATATTGCTGTCTGGCCAACTATTTGAGTTATTTAATTCTTACTAGCAGTGTACGATGCATTCTTTCATACCCAGGTTTTTCTTTTCTTTTTCTTCTTCTTTTTGAGAACTTCAAAAAGATCTCACAAAACTAAGTGATTAGGCAACAAAATGGTAAATGAAATTTACTGTGGATAAATGTAAAGTAATGCACATTGGAAAAAATAACCCCAACTATACATACAATATGATGGGTGCTAATCTAGCTACAACAAATCAGGAAAAAGATCTTGGAGTCATCATGGATAGTTCTCTGAAGACATCCACGCAGTGTGCAGCAGCAGTTAAAAAAAGCAAACAGGATGTTAGGAATCATTAAAAAGGGGATAGAGAATAAAACGGAGAATATATTATTGCCCTTATATAAATTGATGGTACACCCACATTTTGAATACTGCGTACAGATGTGGTCTCCTCATCTCAAAAAAGATATACTGGCACTAGAAAAGGTTCAGAGAAGGGCAACTAAAATGATTAGGGGTTTGGAACGGGTCCCATATGAGGAGAGATTAAAGAGGCTAGGACTTTTCAGCTTGGAAAAGAGGAGACTAACGGGGGATATGATAGAGGTATATAAAATCATGAGTGATGTGGAGAAAGTAGATAAGGAAAAGTTATTTACTTAGTCCCATAATACAAGAACTAGGGGCCACCAAATGAAATTAATGGGCAGCAGGTTTAAAACAAATAAAAGGAAGTTCTTCTTCACACAGCACACAGTCAACTTGTGGAACTCCTTGCCTGAGGAGGTTGTGAAGGCTAGGACTATAACAGCGTTTAAAAGAGAACTGGATATATTCATGGAGGTTAAGTCCATTAATGGCTATTAGCCAGGATGGGTAAGGAATGGTGTCCCTAGCCTCTGTTTGTCAGAGGGTGGAGATGGATGGCAAGAGAGAGATCACTTGATCATTACCTGTTAGGTTCACTCCCTCTGGGGCACGTGGCATTGGCCACTGTCGCTAGACAGGATACTGAGCTAGATGGACCTTTGGTCTGACCTAGTACGGCCATTCTTATGTTCTTTTTTTTTAAATAGAGTCACGATTTTCTTGACTCAGTAAATGATTCAGAACATAATAGACACAGGATGAAATCCTGGTCCCTTTGAAGTCCAGGTGTTACCCACAGTTTTTCCAAGAAAGGTCATTCATATGATCTTGTACATATACTGAACAGGCCCAGTTACCAATTAAAAGGTGTGTGTGTATGTATTTGTATGCACACACCTTAATTGGTATGACTCGTGGAGTTTAGAGGGTATACAGCCATAGATCCAAAGACAGTCAAATATTGTGACATAAAAAGAAAAGATTACCTTATATTATGGCAATGTTGTTACTTTTTAAATTTTAAAGCAGCAGGGAACAGTGACTCATTGGAAGTTGAATACACATCCCCAGTTAAGAGGCTCCTTCATGCAATAATTAAGCTTGAGCCTGGAGTAACACATTGCCTGTAATAGGAGCCCTCTGTAGAAAAGAAAGAAAAATTGTAACTAGTCTTTTAAATCACAATAGATTGTTATTGAATTCTGTATTGAGATATAATTGTCATACAACTTTTCACTTAAAAATAAAATGATAGCTAAACTCCTTCGTTGTAGCATAACCATGTAATGCAGTTTATATTTAAAAAAATATATATTCTCAGTGTAAAAATGTTTTTTTTTATATGTACTTCTTCAGGAGTTTGACTCTGAGATGAGGAAAATAATGTGCAAGACACTTAGATTTGTTTCGCATTATTACGGAGCATCACTAGTGGTTTGTATATTCTTTTTTGTTGGGGGAGGAGAGGGATGGGCAGTATTTGTGAGACGAAACAATAATTAAAATAGATATATAAAACATCTAGATAAACATGAGATGATTGGGACAAATCAGTAAGGCTCATGATGGCTTTCTCCATAAGTGAACCTACTGAGTAGGGATGTTGGGGTCTGCAGAGGAAGTGTGGGGTATATCCAGTGAGTAAGCCAACTCTGAAGATCCACCAGTCAGAATCCCTTCAGGGGACGCACAGGGGCTATGCCCCCCATCACAGAACATGGTGTAAGCCACCCCCAGCAACATTGGTGTCCTGCACCTGGCTGCAGTATTCCAAAAGAGGATGTCTTTCCCCATAGATTTTCTGTGCAAGGTCCATTTACTGAAGCTTTATGTTAGGATGACACCATTTGTGCCTTCATATGTTATCTCCGCTACCAGATATGTTAGAGTATTACACTTCTTACACCCACAACTCTGGATCCTTTTAAGAGGTGATACAGGTAAAAGGCATAGATCACTCTTCCATCCAGGGTAAAATAATATTTTCTTAGCATAAATGGAAAACTCTATCTTGCTACTGGAATTGTTACAAATTTCTTGTATAAACTCTGGATAAAATTCCTCGTAGTGAATAAAATCACTCTGGTTAAAGGTAGTGAAAACCAAATTAACAAATCTCCTAATTAATTTTGATGAGTTTCACTCTTTTATTATGCCATATACTGTAAATATTCTGTGGTATTTATTAAGTTAATAGACTAGGCTACATGCTAGCTACTGCAGGAAAATTGGCTTAAATGAGTGTGCATACATGCTTCAAAAGTAATAGTCACAGTAGTTACAGCCCTATCTGAGCTCCCCTTGTGGACAGTCATCAGGCTGTTATATTAGACCCAAGCTTTGGATCTCACCTTTTTAAGTCTACTGAGTCTGACATCATCCAGACATTGTCTCTGAATCTGGCCTTTCAGGCACATTTTTGTGGTACAGACTCTAATGCTGGTATCCCTTCTTGGAATGTGGAACCCTGTGGTACAGCTCCCCTAGGACCCAAGACTAGAGTGGGTCTCCCCAGCAACTTAAGCATGCCCTTTCCAGAACTCCACACATGTGGGCACTCCACCTTAGTTTATCCCTTCAGGGATTTTGTGACAATATGTCTTTGTATAATCAGCACCTGGCAAGGGTTGGGCTAAAATGTACTTGTGTGTATGCATGTATTAGGATTGGTCTGGGAGGCCATATCTCAATATAGGCATAAACATGCCTCCCGTCAGCCTCTCATGGAGGACCTAGGGCGTGATCCCATTGAAGCCAATGGCAAAATTCCCATTTACTTTGATACTGCAGGTTGAGAGCCCCAGCGAGCACCTCTCAGGCCCTGTCTACCTGAGAAAGTTGCACTAGTTTAGCTTAAGATGTGATTTTAAATTGATTTAGTTAAACTGGTACAAAAAGCTAATGGACACTCACTCTTATTTCATTTTACCAGTGACTTATTTTGGTTTAGCTTAAATTGATTCCTAATCGACTTAACGTATAATGAAATAAACTTGGTTTAAACTGATATAAAAATGTCAGTACAGTCCTTTGGATTGATTTAGCATCACACCTTAAGGTAAGGCAGTGCAAACTTTCTCATGTAGCCAAGGCTTGAGAACTGTACTTTAGGTCCTCCACAAGTGAAGTTTCAGTGAAGCATGGGGGAGTTCTCAGAAAGGTCATCATAGCAGCAGCCATCCTCCACTGTGTACCAGAGCTAGAGGGTAGGTTTTTGTTCTGATTTGTGGCGTGTGCATTTGTGCACTCCTAACCAGAATTTGGCCCTTAGGATTAGATTTCACTAAATTTAGAAGAATGTTAAAGTGTCCTTTAAGCCTCTGTGTGGCCTAGGTCAGTTAAAAACATTTGATCCCTAAACTGATGTCTGGGGATCAAATCCTGATCCTACTGAAATAAGTGGCAGAAGTTCCATTTTTTTTAAGGTGCTTGCACATGTCCATTCCACTGTAGGTGTGTGTATACCTTGTGCACAGTTGTCAGAGAAGTTTTTCCCTCAGTGGTACTCGTTGGGATGGCCACGGCATACTGGTATAAGGGAGCAGAGCCGCCCTGACCCCCCTCAGTACTTTCTTACTGCCAGTGACAGTTGTTGGAGTGATCTCAGACTTGTTGGCATAAGATTCCCTCATTCCTTTGCATATATACCCTGTTATTGTTAGGAGGTAGTTAGTTAGTTAAGTTTAAGTTAGTTTTAGCTAGTTTTAGTGATAGATTTTAGTCTTAGGTCTCTTTGGACTAGTTTTCATCTTTTGGTATTGATACCAAAATGATGCTACACTCACCAGGTTTTAAGTTCTGCCGCACTTACGCTAAGCCTGTGCTGATCAGTGACCCACACCCGGCCATTTGAAATGTTTGGCAGAATCCTACATATGTGACAAATGTCAAGTTTTGTAAGGGATTTAAGCCCCACTCAAAGAAAGGTAGAGTGGCAAGGCTCAAATGTTTGCTCATGGCCGCAGCACTTTGTCCCCCATCAGACTTGTTTCATGCAAAGAATGCCCCAAGTACATCAGCCTTAGTACACAGTGCAGCGGAGATGTCTGCAAGTCCTCAGTCCCATTCAGGATATTAAAGAAAAGGCTTAGATCCTTCTCAGGCTCAATACCTCAATCGGGTATGTCGGTGCCGAAGCCTAGTAGAGGCAGAGACTCTAAGACATTCAGGGGGGAGTCTGTTGCTGGAGCAGTCTTCAGCTAAGAAGAAGGGATTGCCGCCTCCAGAGCCTGTTCCAGGTCTGTTGAGGGCATCTCCTGAAAGATCTCTGTGGCAGACCATGAGTCATTTCCTTTCCCAATCACCCCATAGTCGTATGCAGCCCCAAGGGTCCAGCTTAGTCTCTCAGTACCAGTATCCCCGGCAGTACAAGAAGGTTTACAGTTGGTACTGATACTTGCAGCACCTACCTCTCCGTGTCAGGAACTCACAGTACCATTACCTTCCAAGCTTCCACAAAGGCCACTGCAGTCAAAGGGCAAGCCTCCAATGATATCTCCAGTACTACCATCCTCAGACTCAGGCTACCTATCCCCAGTCCGAACTGGTTCTACCTCCTAATGTCAGACATTTCAGATTCTTCCTCTTCGGACTCAGAGGTGCATTCCTCTGTGTTCCATCCAAGACAGAGGGCATATTGTCCATCTTAGAATTGGGGACTGCAAATCACGCAACAGTCAAGCACTGGCCACGTCCTCTTAAGGGATGATGGGCTGGTCAAAGTTGGGACCAAGGCCCATATGAGTGTCCATTCTGGACACTGTGGGGCATCCTTCTTCTGGCTTGGACCTCCTTGCAACTTTCTCATTCTTTGTCATCAAGACTGTTATGGGAGGATTGGCACCAAGAGAAACATTATCCGGTTCCCAGTATCAAGATCGGTACCGAGCAGCCAGAAGTCACTCAGGTAGCTTCCCCACCACAAGTCATGGAACAGCCACCAACTCAGAATCTTGTGGTGTCCTCTTTTTCATCTCCAGACGAGGCTGTTGAGGCAACAAGCAAGTCACTACCACCAGAAAACCCCAGGGCTCATCAAGATCTGTTGAGAAGAGTGGCTTCTGTTCTTGACATTCAGGCAGAGGAGATGTATGAAAGCTCACACAAATTGGTGGACATTCTGGTATTGGTGGCCCCTGCCAGGGTGGCTCTGCTGATTAATGAAGCCATTATGGAGCTGGTCAGGGCACTGTGGCATACACCAGTCTCCTTACCCCCCACAGCAAAGTGAGTTTAAAGGAGGTACTGTGTCCCTTGAAAGGGCCATGAGTATTCGTCCTCTCACCCTCTTCCTGTTCGTTAGCAGCTGCCTCTTGGTGGTGGCAGCTGCTAACAAACAGGAGAGACAAGGACACCAAACATCAATGCTGAAAGGCAAAGAAGTGAAGAGACTACTTGTTTGGATTCAAACTTTATTTTATGGGGAGTCTGAAGTTTAGGATTGAAAACCTACAGGCACTACTGAGCTGCTATGACTTCACCCTTTGGGAGAACATTATAAAATTTTAAAAACAAGCTGCTAGATGACTGTAGGCGGGTGTTCAAAGTAATGGTGGATGAAGGCAAGCTGATTGTCCTGGAGAGCAGTTCTGGCAGTTTGGATGGAGCAGATGTGGTGGCTCAAACCATGGCATCAGTTGTTTCTGTGAGAAGATATTCCTGGTTACCGTCATGTGGGCTCCCCACAGAAGTCCAGCAGACCATCCAGAACCTCCCTTTCAAAGGTCCCTCTTTGTTTTCTGATAAGATGGACAATAAGCTCCATAGTGTAAAAGATTCCAGGGTGACATTAAAATCTCTTGGAATCTATACTCCTGCGACAAAGAGGAAACAGTTCCATCCTCATCAGCCATACAGACACCAAGCTTTTCTTCCCCAATCTCAAGATGCACTGAGAAGAAAGGGCAGGAGTTATAGGAGATTATATCCGTCACTCTCCTCTTCAGCATCAGTGGGCTCCTCCCATCCAGCCATCTTGTCTAAACAGACATTTTGATGCGTTGGTCAAGGACAGTGTACCAGTTACTGTAGTTCCAGCTGTTTCCCACACTTATGTTTACAAATCACTTATCCCATTTCCTAAGTGCAGGCCCATTGGATCAGTGGGTCTGGGAAATGCCCTCCAGTTCATTTCTACCCTTCCTCCCCAACCCCCTTCCTCGTACCTCTTCAGGGACCACTTTCACAAGATAGTCCTTCAGCAGGAGGTCCAGTCACTTCTTCAGGCAGGGGTCATAGAGGGAGTCCCATTGGACCTCAGGGGGAAAGGCACTGCTACTCCCTGATCCCCAAAGCAAAAAAAGATCTCAGGCCTATTTTAGATCTACCTGAATTGAACAAATTCCTGAAGAAAATAAAATTGTGCATGGTTATCCTAGCCTTGATTATCCAGTCCCTGGAACAGGGGGATTGATACACTGCCCTTCGCTTAAAGAACACTTACTTCACAACCATTCCTCAGATTTGTGCCAAATAGGTCCTTTTATCAGTTTACATTGCTCCCATTCGGTCTCTTAGCTGCTTTTCGGGTGTTCATAAAGTGTATGGCGGTGGTGGCAGCACATCTTCAAAAATTAGCAGTCCATTTGTTCCCATACCTAGAGAACTGGTTGATTGGAGGTCAGCCCAAAGCTCAGGTGTTATCCAATATATCCGTTGTCCCAGGGATGGTGCAAGGAAGTTTCGTGCCCTAGGCAAAACTTCCACCTTGCACCCCCCCCCCCCAACCCCCCCCCCCCCCCCCCCCCCCCCCCCCCCCCCCCCCCCCCCGCCCCCCCCCCCCCCGCCACCCACCCCCGCCCGGGGAGCCCCCCTCCTCCCCCGCGGCAGCTAACCCTGCCCGGGGAGTCCGCCCCAGCTCACCTCGGCTCCGCCTCCTTCGCTGAGCACGCCGGCGCCGCTCTAATTCTCCTCCTTTCCCAGGCTTGCGGCGGCGATTGGAGGAGACTTAGAGCGGGGGCTGTGTGCTCAGCGGAGGAGGCAGAGTGGAGGTGATCTGGGGCGGGGAGCGGTTCCCCTGTGCGCCCCTCCCCCGTACTGTGGGCGGCCCTCCCTGCGCCCCCCCCCGCCCCAGCTTACCTCCACTCCACTTCCTCGCCTGAGCGGGCTTTTAGGCGCCCCCAACCACTAGGCGCCCTAGGCAGCCGCCTAGTTTGCCTAAATGGTTGCACCGGCCCTGCGCTGTCCTGTCCACATTCATTGCACTGGCGCTCCTAGTAAATTGGGACAAATCTATTCTAAAACCTGTACAGAGGATAGAGTTTATTGGAGTGGTCTTATGCTCCACAAAGGCCAAGACTTTGCTACAACAATCCAGGTTCGAAGCACTTTGGGGCTTGGTGCTGTGATGGGAAGCATATCCTCTCACTACAGTATGCAGCTGCCTCAGCCTCCTGGGTCACATGACACTGTGTACCCATATGGTTCAACTCATCAGGCTGCATCTTAGAAAGCTGCAAACATAGCTAGCATCAGTGTGTGCCCCAAACTGTCATCTTTTGGACAAGGTAGTTCGAGTGCCAGTGTCAGTTCTGTCATCTCTGGATTGGTGGATGGACCCTCTGGAAGTCTTTGTGTGGGGGGGCCCTTTATACTCCTGCTACCAACCCTCACTTTAGTCAAAGATACATCTGCCCTGGGTTGGGGGACTCATATGAGGTCCTTGCAGACTCAAGGTCTCCGGGCACCTTGGGATCTAATGGCTCACATATTTGTCACTGTTCAGAGAGACTCCAAGCCACTTCCATGTTTGTCTGCTTATGAATTACCTACAGTGGAATGCACATGTTCAAGCACTCGAAGAAAAAATGGTTATCTAACTTTCTGTAACTGTTGTTCCTTGGTATGTGTTGTACATGTGCATTCCATGGCCCCCCTTCCTTTCCCTCTCTATCGGAATCTATCTGGTATGAAGGAACTTCAAGGGGCGGAAGTGGCTCCACCCTCTTATACCAGCATGCAGTGGCATATGGTGACAGAAGGGCTCTCAAGTTGTCCCAATGGGTATCGCTGAGGGAAAAAGTTCTCCCAAATATGTACATGAGGAACGTGCACACCTACAGTTGAATGCAAACATCTTGAAACAGTTACAGAGAAGTAGGTAACAGTTTCTTTTCTTCGTCAGAATAGGATTTGGCCCTGGAAGATATAGGCTTGCTGTTGAAAAACAAGTCAGAAGCTGAGAGAGGATGCTGCTTGAAAAAGCGTTTTAGGAGCCCTCTTCCGAGTAATTTGTACTATCAACCCTTATCCTGCCACTGACTGTAAAACTGCTTTTTATCATATGATTTAAGTCGCAAGAGAACATGTTTATAGTTGTTTGTTATATTACAGCTCTCAGTGTTCATGGTATTCTGGACAATTTTCACTGTAGTTGAAAGGTTTAATAATTCATTAGTCTTTTGCAAAAGGTCTGTCTCTCTTAGTTTAAACTGTATAAATAAAAAATGTGAGCCCATACATTATTGCAGAATTCCATCTTCTGTTCTTTCTTGAATGCAGGTTTTAATTTTGTCTTGAGATCTGTAGTCACTGACAAATACATTAGTCCTTTAAACAGAGTGGGGCAGATTTGGATGCCAAATACCAGTGTAAATTGGGAGTAACTGTAATGAAGCCAGTTAATTTGCACTACTGTAACTGAGGCCTGGTCCACACTAGGAATTTACATTGGTATACTTACATCTCTAAGGTGTGTGAAAAATCCACACCCAAGAGACATAGCTATATTGACCTAACCCCTGGTGTAGACAGTGCTAGGTTGATGGAAGTATTTTTCCATCAACCTAGCTACCGCCTCTCGGGGAGGTGGATTACCTAAATTGATAGGAGAATCCCTCTCATGGGTGTAGGTAGCATCTACACTGAAGTACTACAGTGGTGAAGCTGTGCTGCTGTAGCATTTTAAGTGTAGAAAAGCCTTGATGTTAGACTGTGGCCCAGTTTCTCTAGCTGTAATCCTCACTTGCACAAAACCTAATTTACGTTACAAATTTCTGTGATGAAAGAGCCTAACGTGCTTTATTCTTTGATTTCTTTTAGTTTACCAGCAAATCTGAGGCCCTCCTGCTGAAAGCCCGTGTTCTTATTAATCATTTGGCATTTGGCTTTGACAGAAGGTAACAGCTACTCTCCCCTAATATTGACCGTTTTGCACAGAGTTTATTGTTGGCTATTTGTAAATGTCTTTTCAAAGCTAGGTTTTCAGCCCCAAAGTCATCAAAATATATTGTCTCCAACGATGCCATCTGTAGAAGATTCTCACTCTTGAATTCTTAGTCTTGGGTCTTGGCAGCTTAGCACAAAGCAGAGGGGGAGGGATAGCTCAGTGGTTTGAGCATTGGCCTGCTAAACCCAGGGTTGTGAGTTCAATCCTTGAGGGGGCCACTTAGGGATCTAGGGCAAAATCAAAATTGGTCCTGCTAGTGAAGGCAGGGGGCTAGACTCGATGACCTTTCAAGGTCCCTTCCAGTTCTAGGAGATGGGATATCTCCATTAATTTAAAAGATGGAACTCCCTATGTTCTTAAGGATTTTTGGTCCCTAAAGAGAGTAGTAGTGGAGAGGACCACAAGCCACTACCAACCACCCTTGATCATGTTTTTTAGGTGTATTTGGAGCCAAATATAAAGCTTAGCTTTGGCCTATATAGTGTAACTATTTGACAGGTATTTGATTACTAATATGAACTTGGTTTCTTTTTTTAATCTGTTTAGCAAATCCATATCAGTGGATCAGAATAAACCATTGTTTATCCCAGCAGGATTGGATTCTCTAAATCAAATAGGTTGGTGACCTTCTTATCCAACATTTTTATTGCTCAAATAGCTTATTAAAATGAGAGGAAACAAGTTTAAAACAGATAAAAAGAAATACTAATTTATACAAAATGGATTTAAACTGTGGAACCTGTGTTACATTACATTATTGAGGCAAATAGCTTAGTAAATTTAAAAGAAGGATTAGAATTTTATATTCCTAAGAAAAGCTTGTGTGGTTACACTAGTTAAGATAAAAATTGTAAGGGTTTTTGGGCTTCATAATTCTAGTTGTGAATTGATAACTGGTTTGCGTCAAGAAGAAAATACCCTTTGTAAAGTCTTACACAGTTAGTTTCATAATGGGGGACTTATACCTTCTTCAAGCTCATCTGCCACTTGTCACTGTTGAAGACAGAATACTATACTAGAAGGATCATTGGCTTGACATGATATGGTAATTTCAGTATTGTTGGGACAACATGCTGATGTCCTTCTATATCATGCTGTGATCTTTAGGACCACCACCTGCCTCTGACAGTGATATTGGAAAACTGCATGCACATACACCTGTGGATTTGTGGAAAAAAATATATGAGAAAACATTTCCACCTAAGGTATGTATTTTTATTTTTGCTGGACAGCTCCTTTCTCCATTCAGAACAGATGAGTAATGCCTCCCATCTGTGGAATTCAGAGGCAGTTCAGTACTGTTGCTGGAAACTGCAGGACTAAAGGTCTGCCCTTTAGCTTAGGCATCAGAATTTCTGCTGCTGGCGGCAGAGCCAGTTTGCATTTCGATTTCTCCTGACCACTTTATTTTATAACTTAATTTTTATTTGCTTTTGTGTAGTAGTGACTTAATTTCAACGTCTGCGTCCTCATTCCTTCTTCTCAGCTGAAGAATCAGTGGAACACTGAGGCTTTAAACCTCTGGTTTATCTGAAATAGCACCCCTCAAGTGGGCTTCCGTCTCCCCCATCCCCCAGAAGTAGAGAAGCCCTGCAAGCACTGACTCAAATTCAAGACATGCTATAGGTAGCTTTTCTGGAGCCTCTCAGGTTGAACTATGCCCTGCTGCCACAAGCCTTCCCTCTGCCACTGTGTGGGGCTTTCAGTTGGACTGGCGTGCTAGGGCTTTACTCCTAGCCCAAAGCAGCTACTCCACTGTGGCAAGCATTGACCAGGAGCATGAGGATTTCCAAGGAGATGCGAACCCCTTGCAGCCTGCTATGGGGTAAGTCTGGCAAACTCCAGAGCCTTCAGGTCCCAAAAAGACAAAACAAGCATTCCTTTCGTAAGTGTTCCCTTTGTAAATCAAGTTTGGATTGTTTTCTAAAAGATCTGCTCTATGAATTATTTGGGGGAAATTCTGTGGCCTGTGTTATACAGGGGGTCAGACTAGATCATCACAGTGGTACCTTCTGGACTCAGAATCTATGAATAAGGAAGTAATTAGTATTGTTAATGAGCAAGTGTGTAAAAATCAAGGTATAAACTTTTTTCTTTTGCCTTCCCACCCTGAGGGGCTGTTTGCTGAGTCTTTTCTCCTATATTAGGCTCTCTAATAGTGTTGTATATCAGGATCACTGTCCCTCTCTCACCGTGCAGCATGTCTGGGCATATAGAAACATTTCTTATTATTCCTGGGGAAATTCTGCACCACTGCGCATAGGCAGAATTCATATCCCCCACAGATTTCTTTGCTTCCCTGCAGAAAAATTACTTTCTGACAGGGAAGCAAAGGGAAGCTGCAAAAGTAGTTATACACCAGTCCCTAGCTGTGCAGGTACATTGTTTCAGACACCCAGAGCAGCCAGCGGAGAGGTAAATCACCGCAGGGCTGGGGACATCCCAGCTAGTGGCTCCTACACTGAGCTGGGATCAGCAGCTAGTCCTGGCTGGGCTGGAGGAAGGAGAGGACGGGACTTCCTCTTCACCTGCAAGAAGTGTCTGGGGCTGTCAGATCCACCCCGAGAAACCTCCCCCAGCTGCAGGAAGCTCAGCATCCTCCCCTGCTTCTTGCTCATCGCTCTGCAGCTGCGGGGGAAGGGGTCATTGTATGGGGAGCTGCTCCCCCATCTGCCCAACCCCCGAGCATCTGGACCTCCCATACCCAGACACCCCTGCCAAGCCTCACCCCGTATACCCAGAACCCCCCTAGTCCTCCATACCCAAACCCCACCCCACTGAACCTCAACCCCTGCATCTGGAGCCACCTGCACCCAGACCCCCTGCTTCCAGACCCCTACCCCTGCACCCAGACCACCCCCCACTGAGCTCCCTGCACTCAGACCCCCATCCTAACAAGCCCCAACCCCCTGCACCACCCTGAACCCCCACATCCAGACACCCACACTACTGACTCCCAACTAGCTGCACCCAGACCCCCACCCCACAAAGCCCCACTCCTCCAGCCCTCAGACCCCACTGCTGCTGAGCCCCCCCCAACCAGACCCCTCCGTGAGCCCCAACCACCTTCACCTGGAAGCCCCTACAGAGTCCCATTGCCCCTGCATCTGGGAACACCCCCCCCCAATGAGCCTCTGTGCATCCAGATCCCCTGCTGAGCTGCCTGCAGCCAGATTGTCCCACACAGAATCTTCTCACCACACACCTGGATCCCCCCACACTGAGCCCGTCCACACTTGGATCCTGCCTGGTTGAGTCTATCTGCCCCACACCTCGTGCGCCTGGCATAGAGGGGCAGGGTGCAAGGGTATTTCTGGGGCAGGCCCAGGCCTTGTGCTGTGTCAGGGTCGGGTGCAGCCTCACCACTGAGTCCGTGTCCTGGGTGGGGATGTGTGGAGGCTGCAGGGTGATCTCCCACCTTCGTAAAACCAGTGGCCTGTGCTCCCCACTGCCATGCAGGAGCCTCTGCATTTCTTAACTGACAAATAAAACTTGCAGAATTTTAAAATATTGTGCGCAGGATATTTAATTTTTTGGCGCAGAATGCCCTCAGAAGTATCTTCTGTCTGTGAGGTCCTGTCCCATGAAGCAGCACAATGAGAATTGTGCCTGTCTGGTTTTCAGTCACGGACCTTTACTCTACTAGGGAAAGAGGCTTAAGGATGGGAATGGGTTTCTCTTCACCTTTCCATAGGCTGGCTCCTCATTAAAGCATATGATGCACTCTAGGAAGTCTGTGCCCAAAATAGAGGTATAATAGGACTCAATTCCCCATGCAGCTTCACCATCATGGAATTACTGGGGGGAGGGATGGGGTAAGTGAGTAATCTCCCATGTTCACAGTAACTCATCATTTACTGATTTAAAGCCCAGAATGGTACTTGGTCTCTCCTGAAGTACTCAAATGGGTGCTAGTCATCCTGGGGAAGCAGGCAGGCTTCCATTCAGGCATCAGTGCAATCCAGTGGGCTGTTTCCACAATCAGGTATTTGTCCCAGTATCTCTCCTCAGTTAAATAGTCTGACATCAGGTTGAGTAGTGTGCTACGTCCTTCCTATAAACAAGTAGGCAAAAACCTCTCCCAGGACAGGAAGAGAATGTCTCAAAAGGAACTCATTAATAACAGTAATAGTAATAAATATCTTCCTCTTCAAGCAGAATGAGGTACACATTTTTCCGTACTCACCTCCTTGTGAGGACACCTCATAAAATCCAGATGGGTACTTCTGGTTAAAACAAAGTGTTGAACTAAGACATAGTCCCCTTCAGAAGGGGACTTTCTTCCAAAAGATCCCATAGACCATAAGAGTGAGGAAAGTACAATGAAATTTCAAAGACTTAACTAGCCATTAAGACCACAAGTGTTGCCTGTATTTAAGAAGGAAAACCTATCTCATGGCAAGCAAGTGGCTTGTCATATAGGCACTTGCTTGAGTGAGAGAGGTCTTGAGTTCATATTCTGGTCAAGTCCTTGCAGTAGTATGCAAAATGTCTTTTATCTGGCAATTTTTCTTGGGTCCTGGTGTTATTTGTGACAAGAACAGTGGCTCCTAGGGTGACCAGATGTCCTGATTTTATAGGGACAGTCCCGATATTTGGGGCATTTTCTTATATAGGCACCTATTACCCCCAAACCCCTGTCCCGATTTTTCACATTTGCTATCTGGTCACCCTAGTGACTCCTAACTCAGTGGCTACAAAGCAACCATGTTCATACCTATGAATAGCAATCAGTCATCCCAGCAGATACCCTTTGCATCCAAACTTACAGGTGTGAGGCTTTTGGGGAAAATATAAAAAGAAATAGTAATTGAGAAAGCAGGGAGGCCCTAAGTCTCACTATCAAAGCCAGCATAGCCATCTGTTAGTCACTACCTACACCATAGGTATTCAAGTAGAGACTAGTCTCCTACTAAAAAATAAGATATATATATGGAGCAGAAACTTCCAATGAAAACCTAGGCACACTTTCTTCCCAAATCAACAAAATTCTCAGTAAGGGGAAGATAGAATGAGCATTTGTATATACAGGGAATCTTCCTTTTGATCTACCCTCTGCACCTAAGAAATGGCTCATAGTAGTCACAACAAAGCTCAGATTGCAAGTATATTCATTCACGGACAACATCACAGTCAGTGCTCTTTCCAGAGAAACAGACTCACATAATTTACCAGATGGTGGAAAAGATTCAGACCTACCAAGTGTTCAAAATCAAGAACTTTTTGAGACCAATGCAAAGAATCGTATTAGCCATTTCCTGGCAGCTGTCAACTGTAGCCAGTTGTCTCCAGCAATTAGGATGGTTGGTGCCACAGAATCATGTGGCCATGAAGACATAGAACCTCACCAGATGTAGTGCAAAATTAGGTGTCATTCCCAGATCATGTCCAGATGTCCCATTATGAACAGGTAAGTGCAATTAACTTGCAGAAAGCTAACCCAATCTTCACTCTATACCCTTGTATACTTGTATAGTCACTACGGAAGCAAACTTCACAAGGTGGGGAGCAAACCTGGAAGACAAGATGACACAGGGGTTATGGCCCCTCACTCAGGAAAAGGAAAGCATCCAGTTCTGTTAAGTGCACACTTTGTGCTGTACAGTTAAATTTCACAGTACAAGTATTTTTAGTTCACTTTAACAGGTCTGCCAGTGTTGTGTCTGAACACCAATATAGGAATGGCCCATACGAGATCAATACCGGTGGTCTGTCAAGTCCAGAATTCTGTCTCTGATTGTGGCCACTACCTGCTCTTTCCGAGGAAGGTGCAAGAAACCCTGTAGTGAGCATTTATGGAATAATTTGTCCACGGTGGACATTTCCTCATTCTTCCTGATAATTAGAGGTTGGCTTGTACTCTGAAGCATGAATGCTTATATCCATTTCAAAACCAGGAAGTAAGCAGTGTTAATCTGAGGTGATAGAAATAATGTCACAGACAGAGAAGAATTTGCTACCTTTCAAGACTGTTCGCGTACAGGATCCAGAAAAGAGAGCTGAGGTTGTCTTCCGTGGGCCCTGATAGTATGTTTTTTTTACTTGATAGACCACTAAGGAACCTCCATTGCACCTGCAGAAAAGACCAAACTGCTGGGGATGAATCTTGTGGCCTAAATACTAAGTTTGCTGCTTCACAAATGAATATATTGCATTGAATTGTCTGAGTGATGGATGATAAATGCTTATTTTCTTGCATGCATTTGCAAGACCTGTATTATGTTCCTCAGACTCTTTACTAAGTATTCTGTTAAAGCAGTGAAAGTTAAACTTTATGATTTGGTGTTTTTTATACTTTTATTTTTTTCTTCAAATTTCAGAGTACTAGGGACTTAAAAGATGTCAATGACCCTGCCCAGGATCCACAGTATGCTGAGTATGAAGTTGATGCAATGCGAACTCAGAAGAATCAGGTACATTATTGTGTTGCTACTCATGTTACTATAATCAGCTGCCCCTAATACTCATTAGCATTTATAAGGCAGTTAGTATGTATACCCATAGAATCTACATTTGGCTTTTGAGAACCAAACTGAAACCATCTCACCCTAGTTGGTTGATCTTTCTCCTCTCTTCTCACTCTTGGAATGTGATCGTGACCAGCACTTAGACATTGTCTAACAGTCCTGTGTCTTGTTGTTGGGTCAGACATGAACAGTTCATTGGCTACCTTCCGTGACTCCTCTTCAAGTATGCTTCTAACAGTATTGTTATTAAAAAAAATTTCTTTCAGCATAAGAGGCAATAGAGTCTGTTCCCCTAGATCTGGGCTTCAATTCTGCCATGTTTTGGAGAAATGGGGAGATTGGTTGCAAACATTTGGGTTCACTGATTCTCTTTTGCTGGGAATAAGGCAGGAAAATAAATTGTGCAAAAATTTCATGCTGGTTGTAAATCAAGACTGAGATGTTCAGTCTCATTTATGTTGGTTTGCCTTGCAATGATTCTCAGGAGGGGATAGGTGTAGGGCAGGATTCCTATCTGCTTTCACTTCATGCTCTTTAGTACAAGATCAGGGGCTAATAAAGTTATCTCCATCCACAGTATAATTAAAGACGAGCCTTGCTCATCCTTCTGATTGTGCATGTTTAACCAAGCTGACAGTACTCTGAGTTTAAAAGGAGGGGTCTGCTGATATTGAAAAACTGGGCATTTTCTATGAGGGACCCTTAATTGCGGAAATGGTTCCTCCTTTGGTCCACCCAAGCCCAATGAGGCGTTAGTTATAGAACACGGGCAAATAACCCAGGAAATAGTGTTGGGATGTGGGAGTTTTACATTTTTTTCGTCTACATTTTTTATTTTAAGTTGGTGTTTGTGAAGGGTACTGTATTGATGGTCTTGGTGACTGAAGTTCTTCATTAACAGCAAAGGGAATCTATCCTGACATGTTGCATGTAACCCTTCTGCCAGGTGGAGCCAGCAGCAACAAGGGCTGGGTTCAGTATCTAGGGGTTGCTTTTCAACAATACAACACAAAACTGGCTTGAGCCCCCACCCAGTGGGGACAATTACACACCACCCCCTGAGTGCCTCTAAGAGGCAATACTTCCCCTCTCGCAAGAACAGAGTTTGAGTGTAGCAAAAACTTTTAATAAAAGGAGGAAATTCACTCAGCATTAATTTGGGAAAACACCACATCTAGGGTTCATAAACACAAACCATGAGCAAAACACCCACCCCCAAGTAAGTTGGGCAGTGTCCTTTTCTTCTCAAGGTCTTAAGTCCAGCAACCCACAAGTCCCTTCAACGTGCTCGTCCCTTCTCTGTACCCCACTCACAGTTGCTGTCCTTGGCCAGTGCAGCCCCAGAGTTCAGAGGTTCATCCGCAGAGTTCACCTCCAACCCTGTTTAGAAGGCGGGAGTGGTGGTAGAGGAGATACCTTACATGCTGAACTGCTCGGGCACTTGCTCATCGCCCCTACGGCCGATTGCCAGGCCTCTGCTGTGGCCCTCTCCACTAGCTTCTCTTCTGGCTGCTTGCCATGACTCTGCCAGCCGCCCTTGCTGGCCGCTTGCCACGCCTCTCTGCCAGCAGCCCACTCACCAAGATGTCCCCACACACACACACTTAAGACAGCTCTCAGTGATTTCAGCTGTTAGTGGGGGAGCCTCACTGCTGGTGCACACTGGGCAGTCTCTTGCAATAGAGACACTGTTCCAAAGTAGGTCTAATACTTAGACCTAGGTATCAGTGATTTCAGCTCTGCAGCATGTAACAAAACTCTCAGTTGAGTCTAAATTAGCTCTTTTATTATATCAAGGAGAGAGGAAGGGTCAAATGGGCCCCACCCTCTCTCAGCTGATTGGGCTTTGAAACCCGTGTCCCCTGCCTAGTGAGCGCTGTTCAGTTGAGGGTGAGTCCCTCCATTGGGATATGCCAGGTACAGTTCTGCTGCCCTCGGTTCACGCAACAAGGATAACAACACTTTATTACTCATGCCCCAATAACAAGGAGACTGGGGATCCAACACCAGCCACAAGTGATGATTTGGGCACGCACTCCTATCATGCTGACCACCTAGGCAGTATGGGTGTGTCCATGCAAACAAGATCAGCTTCTGAAGTCTTTTTCCACAGCTCACCACTAGATGTCAGGAGAGAGCTCATCCAGACTCTGCTTACATGCATAAGCCTTGAATTACAGGAACCACCTGTAAGTGTGAAAGGATAGGTCAGTCTGTTTCCCATTTATTCCTTAGCATCTCTGCTCTGTATGCCAACAAGTTTGCCATTTGGATTTGATGATGTAGAAACCTGTCCACTGGAAACTGGCCTGAGACTACGAAGCTCTCTTCCTGTAGGTAGAGCCCCTTGGAATTCTTTTTATTTTTTATAACTTTTCATTTTATTTTTTGGGATTTTTGTTTTATTACTCCTGGGGTGATAAAACATAATTCCTGAAAAAATCCTGTTTGGAAGGGGACCTGGAGAGTGAGCCCACCCTGCACTCATCCCACAGCAGAGGCACCTGTCCCACAGGACTGGTCCCAGCTCCCCTCTGTGGACGCTGTGATCTGGCACCTGCCTACCTTAGTGGTGCTCTGACCCCATTTGCCAGGTCACAGTGCTTAGGGAGCCAGGCCCAGTCCTGCAAGGCAGGAGCCGTAGGAGCTGCCAGGTGAGTTTTTTCATTTGATGTCATTAGTTACATTCTTTTTCATTTTATATTGTATTCTTTGACATTTGCAAAACATGTGGGACTCTGCCTATAGGACACCAAACAGTCCAACAGTGTGTGACAAAATTCCTCCTCTATCTTGGTGGGTCCTGCGCTTATTGGCAGATTTTCTTGCCTCAGAGATTCACCATGTGGGTTGGGGAACAGCCCAGAGACCTTCCCCTCTGGAAGAACCCACAGTCCAGGTCAATTGGGAAGTTTGGGGGGAACCCGGGCCCGCCCTCTACTCTAGGTTCCAGCCCAGGGCCCTGTGGACTGCAGCTATCTATAGTGCCTCCTGTAACAGCTGCATGACAGCTACAACTCCCTGGGCTACTTCCCCATGGCCTCCTCCAAACACCTTCCTTATTCTCACCACAGGACCTTCCTCCTGGTGTCTGATAACGCTTGTACTCCTCAGTCCTCCAGCAGCACACCCTCTCAGCTTCTTGCTCCCAGCTCCTCACACTCGCACCACAAACTGAAGTGAGCTCCTTTTAAAACCCAGGTGCGCTGATTAGCCTGCCTTAATTGATTCTAGCAGCTTCTTCTTAATTGGCTCCAGGTGTCCTAATTAGCCTGCCTGCGTTAACTGGTTCTAGCAGGTTCCTGATTACTCTAGTGCAGCCCCTTCTCTGGTCACTCAGGGAACAGAAAACTACTCATCCAGTGACCAGTATATTTTCCCTCTACCAGACTCCTGTACCCCACTGGTCTGGGTCTGTCACAAGTGGTAACAAATTTTGGTTACCATTAACATGGGCTGGCTTTGTATCCTATTACCAATGTCCTGAGCCATCCAATCCTACTCATTAGCTCGGGCCTAGCATAATATTTTCTGCTTGGGGATGGGAGCACGTGACTTGTCATTGTCATTTTTTTATTTAGTACAATTTCACATTTTGATTGTGAAAATAATGTGTTTCATGCAGTTCTGTTTACTACTTTACAAGGACACTTTATTGTTTAGATGGGTGAAGACTGTTTCACGCAGCTTTGGTACCTTCTTTTCACAAAACTAGACTAGGTTACTTGGTTTAAAGTAGGTTACTTTGGTTTAAACAAAGTTTTATAACAGTCATCTAAGATGGTAGACGTGGAAGACCTTTGAAAAGCTATGACTATAAAAGGCTAGATATCATAGTTTTTCCAGCAACCCCTCCTAAGATGAAAGATACGTTTACAGAAATGCACTGCAACTAATCTAAAGTAATCCCACATTTATTGTAGCTAATTTAATCTTTTAGCATACCGGTAAAGATGAGCCTAATGATTATATTAATATTGCTATCATAGTTATATAGTGTTTACTTATTGCCAAGGAATAACCTGTAAGTAAATATGCACACTGCAGACTACCTCAGGTATGCTAGGTTACTTAAGACAATCAACCTGCAGTTACCTGTCCAAGGATATTCATATAAATCATACTGTATGATATAAAAAATAAATGAGTTTAGAATTCCTTATGGACTTTGAACTTACATATCTGTATTTAATTGTTAACCCAATACAGTGATTGTATATGTCTGTTATGTTAACAGTTGTCTTAGAGATCATTGCATATTAAAGCAATTTTTAATCTATATGCTAATATGGAATTTATAGGCTAATTTCCTACTAAATATCTTGAGCTTACAATTGTATTAAACTTGTTATTATAGATAATATTTTTATCTAGTAAAACAAGATACTGGTAGGTGTTGATTAAATCATACTGAAAATTAATTTTCTGGTTTTAAGCGAAAAAAGACTGTTTTTTAAAAGACTTCTGTCTGTTTTTAAGGGCATTGGAAGTCAACGCAGCTTCTTTTAGTGGTACTGCTACAAAAAAAAATCTAGACATTAAATGAGAAGTTTCATTCAAAAGAAAATTACTTTAGTTATCTGCAGTTGTTTCCTAAAATTTTCTATCTTTATGTTCAATTATTATAAGATTATTGCTACATTTACACTGTTTTTATGAAAATAACCTTTTATGATCTTTGAATTTCATTTGATGTTAAATGCAGTAAGATAGCAGTATACATCTAAAAGAAAACAGTGCTCTGGCTACATTCAATTTTTAAATGTCTGAACATTTCCCATAACTATGTGAAAATGGGTATTGAAACCATTCCTATCTTAACAGGAAAATATTACATGCTGTAGAAATCTAATTTTCTTTCTTTTTAGATTCTTATATTCAATAAATTGTTATGGTATATCTTTTTAAATACAGAGCGGAACATTTATACAAAAATTTATACCATA